TATAAACACAACACATGACTTGTATTTCATAGTCATAACACACAGGAGTAATACCTTGGTCCCTGTTATTACAGATCAGTCCATCAGTAGGGTTACAAACTACATTTTGACCTAATTCATTTAAAGGTATGTCGATGTACAATCTAGCTCGACATTTAATTTCAAGAGGTTTCCTACAACCACTCAAGTCTAGGTTCGAAATGTTTGTAATTTTTTCATAATCTCCTTCATCTAGCCCAGGCTCAGGGTAGTCATTGTTAATCCAGTTTGACCAATTACATATGTAGCAGTCACTTGGTGTTGTGGATGTTTCTATGTAAGGGGTTGTTGTAGGTGTTTCTACATGAGCTGTTGTGCTAGGTGTTTCTATGTAAGGTGTTGTGGTATGTGTTTTTATAAGAGTTGTGGGTTGTTTTGTTGTTGCAGTTTCTTTTGAAACAGTTGTTGTATGTATGGGTGTAGTAATTAATTTTGAGGTTGCTGTGGGTTTTTCAGTAGTCACTCGCATTGTTGGGATTTCTTTTGATGGTGTTATTGTTCGTCTTGTTGTAACTTTTGGCATAGAGAAAGTCAGAATTGATGTCACCGCCTGAGTTGTTACAGTAGGAATTTGTACAGTTGTTCTTGTGGTGGGCATCTTAGTAGTTGTTTCTGTTTGGGTACAAACAAAAAACATATTAAACAAACAGTTTTTCTGTATTTATCTTTTTTTCTCAAAATAGCAAAATTCTAAATCTTGAATTTCTTCAAGTATTCTATGCATCATTTGCTTACCCCTTGTTGTAAATATAAAGACTGTTGTTATTGGTGTAATGGTAGTACAAGGTTGCATGATTCTGATGATAGTTTCGTTCTCTCCACAAACACCAATGATGCAGGCTCCATCTCCATCATGTGTATCATACACAGTCTGGTTATAGTCATAGATGTGGCCATTATAGCTGCACTTGCAAGCTGAAAATGGGACACAGGGTGTAAAACTAATAAGCAAATATGTGTTTTGAATCAGTTTATAACTTTTTGTGTGTACTTGTTTTGCATATATTTTCTTTGAGACAACATATACTAGTCATAGTCCCAGATATATCTCTCTTATTATTTTAGTCACCTTTTACATCATAGACACACTCTCTGACTGTGGAAGAACAGTAACTGAAAAAACAAATGCGAGAATAAACTTTTTACAGTGTAATTAGACATTTAGCATGTGCAAACAAAAACTGTCAAGCTAACATTGAATTTAGTTTTACTATGTGTCCTACCATTTGTGACAATGATCCTTTGTTGGCATTGACTCCCCCTCTTCATAGTGTTTCCCGTCATTATCATAGCAGCCACATTCTACATTTGATACACACTTCATGGTAACTTCTTCCAAATAAGGTCGTTCAGGTGGGCAAGTTGGATAGCAGCCTTGGAAAGTGGGGGGGATTTCATAAGACTTTACTGAATAATTACAAATGAAAAGTGAATTTTAAATTTCATCATCAATCCTCTTTTCACTCTTACCTTCTAATGCTGGAAGTTTATTGTAGCATCGTCCTGAAGGATTGCTACATGTCATCATGCATGGTTTCCCACATGGTGCATAGTGCCACTCACACTCTCCATCGGGGTTGTAATAATCACAGAACAGCGCTAATAAAGAATAATCACATTCATTATATCAGGTGTCTCATATGAAACGTTCAAAGACGCTGGTTTTATTTGTGAAGTTTAGATGCGCCAGCAGCAACCTATATCATCCTTTTCTTATTTAATTTTTAATATCTTCTCAGAAAATGAACAACAAATGAAACTTACGGCAGATGGTAGGAGTTCTCCATTTAATGCAGATTCTGGCATCATTACAGGCTGCTGCGTAAGCTGCAACAGCTGAGCAGAAACACTCACAATCTCCTCCCGAATTACAACCACATGTATCTTTTAGACATGCATCATAATAGGGTTGCGGTTCCACCTTTTTAACAAAAGTAATTGTAAATGCAACAAAGACAAAGCTAAATATATCTTGCTATCATTAATTCTGCATGAAAATGAAACTAGTGACAGAAAGTTTGAATGTTTTGACTTTCTTACGCTTGAGTGGCAGGCTGAAAACACGTCACTTTTGATTATGCTGCAGTGTTTAGATGCCCATGCTTGTCTGTTCGAGTACAGACTGCAGGGATGTTGTGTTGCATTAACATCTGGACATGTTGACGACACTTTCCAGCTGTTTCCAAACTCAAACGCGTCAACCACAATTTCTCTGTTACTGGTGAGAAAATCATTCCTATTTCCATCATAGTTCCCACACAAACCACATACTTTGCCCTTAAAAAAAGGATTTTCTCTGTCAATAGACAATACATAAACTTTTTTTCATAAACCTGTATATGTTCACTCACCTTGAATGACGAGTTGAGTTTGATCATGAGTGTTGTCTTTTTGTTCCAAGTGAGAACAAGACCATTCTTTGCCTCAATGACAACGTATATACCCATAGTGTGAACTTTAAAGGGTATGTCCATCCCATTGTGTTGACTGATGACTCGGACATGTTCATCAGACAGAACTATTTCATTACGCTGAAAAAAGGCCACATATAGTTACTGTGATGTATATTTTTTACATAATGAGGATTACAAAATTGCAGACGATAAGTGCTAGTTTATTCAAATATACGAAATTAAACTTGCATGATAAAAATTATGACTTGTAGCATGCACAGATCTCATTAGGATTCTATAAACTTTGCAAAGACTTAAGAAATCATACAAAGTGGACAATTATTTTATGTTTGTCAATATGCTGCAGTTTTTAAATACAAACTTATCAGTTTAGATAGAGTAGATTAATAGATCGTACTGATCATGTTTGATCACCAATTTTTTTTGTCTTCTTCTGTATTTATTTACGACATTTGACAAAGTGCAATGACTTTTCTTTTTAAAGGTATACACTGCTTTTCAATGCCACCTACCCCCAAGTAGAGCTTGATATTGGTGGAACAAATGCTTTCACTGGAAACACAGGGGATGCTTTCTGTCAGGACCCTGAAAGTGCCATCCATGTTGCCCTCACAGTAATCCTACAACATTTTATGTTAGTATTTAAATACTGACATTGATAAGTAACAAAGACGGAACATGATTACAGAATACCTGAGCAAAGATGTAACCACAAGCCCCTTTAAAGGCAAATTTTCGTTCATCAAAGGTTATGTAATTCCCCTCTCCATATATGGTGCACTTTGCACCACAGTCGTTATCCGTGCATTCCCATCTCCTACCTTTACATGTGCTAGAATTTAAAACAAATATATAAATTATTATGTGTCAACACAACAAAATGAAGAATCTGGAGATGGAATTTGCTGTAGAGTGTGTCAGGTCACAATAAAATGCAACCTGATAGATGACATTAAAGCTCACCATCTTTGACAGCTCACAGTTATTTCACTTCCTGGTTCATAGAATTTTCCACCATGTGCACATGTACACTGTTCCTCCTTCACACAGCCTCCTTTCATATCTGACAGCAGACCATCAGGACACACACAGCCCGGGACACATTGAACACTTACCTATGTAGTAAATAATAATTATTTTTATTATGCAGCTTGGTTTCTTTAATAAGACTACATGTATGTTTAATATGGGAAGAAATGAGCATCTTAGCCTTACACATTCTGAGTCCACTGTCTGGCAGCTCCTTTGGCACTCAGAACCTGTTTCACCCGGCTTTGCATTCGAGCAGTTGTAGTAAACCATTGGATGGGTGCATGCTGATGAGCATAACAGAGTGTTACAACTAACTAGCACTTAGAGCATTTTGTCACTAATACTGCTCTTTACAAAGTACTTTATACGCACAATCATCTTTTGGTGGTCCTGTACAGCTTAATTCTCCACTATGGCAGGAGCTGAAAGGAATTGCAGGAAGAGAAAAATGTGATGAACAAAATAAAAATGTCCTTTTTTTTCTTTTAGCCATTGATCAAATCCTAAATTTTATTTTATTTATTTTTTCTTCTTTCAGCTGCTCCCTTCTTCAGGGGTCGCCACAGGAAACTAACTTACACGAATCTAAAAAAGTTAAATCTGGTCCTCTGGACATTCAAAAAAACAAAACAAAGCAAATCAACAAAAAAATGTAGAAACGTTTCGTCTCTCATCCGAGAGACTTCCTCAGTCTGAGGAGCTGTTTTCAGCTCAGTCTCTTAAATAGCACCGTCTCAGGGTGGATCAACCAGTTTTGCTGCTGACAACCAAAACCAGCTGATCACATGCTCAAGAAGGACCATCAGC